AATTTGAAAAAAAAAAGTTTCTTTGTTTCTATTATAAAATTTTTCAAACAGGTATTTTTTCTCCTTCACTGATGTGCGTTGATGAGCCAGCACTGATGGGCACTGATAGGCGGCACTGATAGGCAGCACTAAAGGGCACTTATAGGCAGTACTAATGAGGTGGCACGGATAGGCGGCACTGATAGACAGCACTAATGAGGTGTCACGGATAGGCGGCACTAATATGCAGCACTGATAGGCGGCACTGATAGGTGACACTGATGATGGGTACTGATAGACGGCACTGACTGGCATCACTGCTGGGCACTGACTGGCGGCACTGACTGGCACAACCCCTGGACACTGACTGGCACTGGCAGCACTGGTGGGCAGCACTGGTGGGCAGGCACAGGTGGGTGGCACTGGTGGGCACAGGTGGGTGGCACTGCTGCACTGCTGGGCACAGGTAGGTGGCACTTCTGGGCACAGTGTGTGTGGCACAGGTGGGTGCACTGCTGGGCACAGGTGGGTGCACTGCTGGGCACAGGTGGGTGATCTGCTGGGCACAGGTGGGCGGAGCTAGTGGGCGCACTGCTGGGCACAGGTGGGCAGAACTTGCGGGTGGCACTGCTGGGCACCGATCATCAGGGCACTGATCATCAGTGCCCTGATGATCGGTGCCGATCCCCGCTCTGACAACTGCCAGTTCTCGGCAGTACTTTCCTCACGATCTGACAGCGTGAGGAAAGTGCAGCCGAGAACCGGCACTTGCATTTCCCTCTGATTAGCGTGTCATTGGACACCGCTGATCAGGTGGTAAAAGGCCACTGTGATTGGCCTTTTACCACATCACGTGATCAGCTGTGTCCGTAGGACACAGCGATCACGGAGATCGCCGGGTGCACGCCCCCTGGGGCGCGCAGGAGAGCGTGTTCTGGGAGGACGTCATATGACGTCCACTCAGAACTGGCCGGCCGCAGTGTAGCCGTCATTCGGCTATCTGCGGTCGGAAACTAGTTAATAAAACACAGACCTGATCGGAGAGGTGAGAAGGATCTTGGGAGGTCACATGACATCACTCTGGTCTAGTCTGGGCAATAGACCATGTTGTTCTTGTAGACATGTAGATGATGTCAGATGATTGATATCTATATAAAATAGTGCAGCGCTCAAAATAAATCAATATTAGTACAACAAAAAAAAACCCAGTGCACACAGGGGTTAAACTATTACACAGTGCAACATGTGAATTCCCACCGGGAATAACTTAGTGTGAAAGTGACCAGTGTCCTGACACTCAAGCAAACTCCTACAACGTAATACATACAAAAAATCACCATGATTACAAATACAATACAATAAATTGAATTAAATAAATGTCCAAAGTGCTCAAATTAAGATATTCATGCAGGTGCTGGTATGTGTTCACTCCGTGCAAATCTTTAGTGGCCAAAGTGTCCCCTCACCTCCTTAAATTGACCCTGCAGGGTCAGCTCGCTCTGGGTGTGAACCACTCTGGATGGCAACAGGTTACTTTTCAAATCCACTCCCAAGTACTCCGATCCTTCCATACACAGCCCTGTCAGCAGTATCCCCTCTAGCTGCACCCGTTTTATGACTCTAGTCTGTTTCCTGAGAAACGAGGAAACAGACTACAGTCATAAAACGGGTGCAGCTAAAGGGGATACTGCTGACAGGGCTGTGTATGGAAGGATCGGAGTACTTGGGAGTGGATTTGAAAAGTAACCTGTTGCCATCCAGAGTGGTTTACACCCAGAATGAGCTGACCCTGCAGGGTCAATTTAAGGAGGTGAGGGGGCACTTTGGCCACTAAGGATTTGCATGGAGTGAACACATACCAGCACCTGCATGAATATCTTAATTTGAGCACTTTGGACATTTATTTAATTAAATTTATTGTATTTGTCATCATGGTGATTTTTGTATGTATTACGTTGTAGGAGTTTGCTTGAGTGTCAGTTAGGACACTGGTCACTTTCACACTAAGTTATTCCCGGTGGGAATTCACATGTTGCACTGTGTCTGTGTAATAGTTTAACCCCTGTGTGCACTTTTGTTTTTTTTGTTATACTAATATTGATTTATTTTGAGAGTGCTGCACTGTTTTATATAGATATAATTTCACTAATTTAGGTAAGAGGTTAGTGTCAGCAGCTTGAGTGTTAGGGCCCCATTTTTAGCGCAGGAGGATTTTCTGTCATTTCCTAAATAATTGATATCAGTTTCTCTTTCTCCTGATCTGTAGGATTATGTTGTAGTGAAGAAATCTAGTGGGGAGCCAATCTCAGGAGGATGGAGCAGGACCCAGAGCCCCACCATGGTGCCTCCCCCTCGTTCTCCGGAGCAGAAGATCCTGGAACTGACCACCCTGATGGTCCATCTGCTGACAGGAGAGGTGAGCGGTGCCGGGGAATTCTGGGACATTCTCCAGTAACAGACAAGGGATGTGTCTGGATGGTGACTGTATCATTGTGTGTGTCAGGTTCCTATAAGGTGTCAGGGTGTCACTGTCTATTTCTCCATGGAGGAGTGGGAGTATTTAGAAGGACACAAGGACCTCTACAAGGACGTCATGATGGACAATCAGCCGCCCCTCACATCACCAGGTAAGAGGAGACTTTATTGGAAAGGAGAGAGCAGTACAGAGGATCCACCTAGATCCCCCATCATCTGATAAACACATAGAAACAATGGATTCAGTCAGTGTGTGTGTGTGCTATATAATAACCCCTCCTTCCTCCTTTGTAAAGGTTCTTCTAGAGATCCTTCCTTTATAAAAAGTTATTTTAGAGATCCCTCCTTCGTAAAGGTTCTTCTATAAGAGATCCCTCCTTTGTAAAGGTTCTTCTAGAGATCCCTCCTTTGTAAAGGTTCTTCTAGAGATCCCTCCTTCGTAAAGGTTCTTCTATAAGAGATCCCTCCTTCGTAAAGGTTCTTCTATAAGAGATCCCTCCTTCGTAAAGGTTCTTCTATAAGAGATCCCTCCTTTGTAAAGGTTCTTCTAGAGGATCCCTCCTTCGTAAAGGTTCTTCTATAAGAGATCCCTCCTTTTGTAAAGGTTTTTCTAAGATCCTTCCTTTATAAAAAGTTATTTTAGAGATCCCTCCTTCGTAAAGGTTCTTCTATAAGAGATCCCTCCTTTTGTAAAGGTTCTTCTAGAGATCCTTCCTTTATAAAAAGTTATTTTAGAGATCCCTCCTTCGTAAAGGTTCTTCTATAAGAGATCCCTCCTTTGTAAAGGTTCTTCTAGAGATCCCTCCTTTGTAAAGGTTCTTCTAGAGATCCCTCCTTTGTAAAGGTTCTTCTAGAGATCCCTCCTTCGTAAAGGTTCTTCTATAAGAGATCCCTCCTTCGTAAAGGTTCTTCTATAAGAGATCCCTCCTTTGTAAAGGTTCTTCTAGAGATCCCTCCTTCGTAAAGGTTCTTCTATAAGAGATCCCTCCTTTTGTAAAGGTTTTTCTAGAGATCCCTCCTTTGTAAAGGTTCTTCTAGAGATCCCTCCTTTGTAAAGGTTCTTCTAGAGATCCCTCCTTTGTAAAGGTTCTTCTATAAGGGATCCCTCCTTTGTAAAGGTTCTTCTATAAGGGATCCCTCCTTTGTAAAGGTTCTTCTTAAGGGATCCCTCCTTTGTAAAGGTTCTTCTATAAGGGATCCCTCCTTTGTAAAGGTTCTTCTATAAGGGATCCCTCCTTTGTAAAGGTTCTTCTATAAGGGATCCCTCCTTTGTAAAGGTTCTTCTATAAGGGATCCCTCCTTTGTAAAGGTTCTTCTATAAGGGATCCCTCCTTTGTAAAGGTTCTTCTATAAGGGATCCCTCCTTTGTAAAGGTTCTTCTATAAGGGATCCCTCCTTTGTAAAGGTTCTTCTATAAGGGATCCCTCCTTTGTAAAGGTTCTTCTATAAGGGATCCCTCCTTTGTAAAGGTTCTTCTATAAGGGATCCCTCCTTTGTAAAGGTTCTTCTATAAGGGATCCCTCCTTTGTAAAGGTTCTTCTATAAGGGATCCCTCCTTTGTAAAGGTTCTTCTATAAGGGATCCCTCCTTTGTAAAGGTTCTTCTATAAGGGATCCCTCCTTTGTAAAGGTTCTTCTATAAGGGATCCCTCCTTTGTAAAGGTTCTTCTATAAGGGATCCCTCCTTTGTAAAGGTTCTTCTATAAGGGATCCCTCCTTTGTAAAGGTTCTTCTTCTATAAGGGATCCCTCCTTCGTAAAGGTTCTTCTATAAGGGATCCCTCCTTTACCAGCTACTTTGGGCTTTTTAGGACCCAGAAAGCCAAGGAGCCACCTGGGAAGCAGAGCCAGTGATAGACTTTTCATACACTTTCATACGTTCCTCTGTTCATACTGCTCACCCATTGGTCCAGAGTAGGGCGGGAACTGGGTGATATACTTGAAGTCACTGACCTGGAACAGGGAGGAGGGTGGGAAATACAAAGTTTTAAATGCTTTAATCCTTCAATTGCCCTCTGCAGTATATAAACATAATATTATGGTGGTCTTCAGGATGGGGGAGGAGCCAATACCCCAATGATGGTGGTCTTCAGGATGAGTCCAGTCTTCCTCTTGGTCCCCCATCCTCACTCTCTGACCTCTGGTGGGGCTCTTGTCTAGTAATCCTCTTTGTCTTTGTATTTTAGTCCATGGCCGGGAGATGAGGAAAACCTCCGAGGATTGTCTCACTTTGTCTCCAGACTGGAAAGTAGAAGATGAGGACATCACACAGTATAGTCCAGGAGAAAACCCGGCTCCCTCCAATGTGCATCCGGCACCACCCAGTGTAGATGGACCATCGGATTCCTCATATCCTGAGGAATTTCAGACTGTACGGGACCGGGCCGGCCTTCCAACAGGGAAGAGGTTCTCCTGTCCTGAGTGCGGGAAACGTTTCTGTTATAAATCTCATCTGAATTTACATCAAAGATCTCACACAGGGGAGAAGGTGTGTTCATGTCCTGAGTGCGGGAAATGTTTTTCACAGAAGTCTTCTCTTTCCATACACATGAGGTCTCACACGGGGGAAAAACCACATTCCTGTTCTGAGTGCGGAAAATGTTTTGTTATAAAATCAGATTTAGATAAACACCTGCCATCTCACACGGGTGAAAAGCCCTATTCCTGCCCTGAGTGCGGAAAATGCTTTTCACATAAGTCCACTCTTGTCAAGCATCAGAGGTTACACACGGGTGAGAATCTAAATTTCTGCCCCGAGTGCGGGAAATGTTTTGCCGCTAAATCAGAATTAGATGAACACCAGACAACTCACACGGGCGAAAAGCCATATTCCTGTCCTGATTGCGGAAAATGTTTTTCACGGAAATTCACTCTTTCTATACATCAGAGACTGCACACGGGAGAGAAGCCGTATTCCTGCTCTGAGTGCGGGAAATGTTTTTCACGTAAGTTCAGCCTTTCCATACATCAAAGACTGCACACAGGAGAAAAGTTGCATTTCTGTCCTGAGTGTGGGAAAGGTTTTTCACAGAAGTCCTCCCTTTCCGCACATCAGAGAATGCACACAGGAGAGAAGCTGTATTGCTGCCCCGAGTGTGAGAAATGTTTTTTTAAGAAATCTTCTCTTTCCGCACATCAGAGCTTACACACGGGCGAGAAGCCGTTTTCCTGTCCTGAGTGCGGGAAATGTTTTTCACAGAAGTCCTATCTGTCCGCACATCAAAGATTGCATGCAAGTGAGAGGTTGTATTCCTGCCCCGAGTGTGGGAAATGTTTTTTAAAGCAGTCCATTCTTTCCGCACATCTGAGATTGCACACGGGGGAGAAGCCATATTCCTGTCCTGAGTGCGGGAAGCGCGTTTCACACAAGTCCTCTCTTACCGCACATCAGAAACTGCACACGGGTGAGAAGTTGTATTCCTGTCCTGAGTGCGGGAAAAGTTTTGCACAGAAATCCTATCTTTCCAGACATCAAAAATCTCACTCGAGCGAGAAGCCACGTTCCTGACCTGAGTGCAGAAGTTCTCCGTGTAGATCAAATATTCGCCAACATCATTACACACGGGAGAAAAGTCATATTCCTGTCCTGAGTGTGGGAAATGTTCTCAAAGTTCTGTCTGGGTGCCACCTGCTGGCTGAAAGTGGCAAATATAATATTTTCAGATGAAACATTGCATAGGTACCCGATAAACGTACAAATATATTAACGATTTTTATTGTTTTTGCCGTCACAAATATTAATAAAATATGTCTACGTCATTGGATGATATTCTTTGTAGGCTGATTGATTAAAGTGTGACCTCAGATTTTAGGTTTGTTTGATTTCTTGTGTCTCGGGGGCTTTATTTGTCCGCCATGTCCTTGTTGGAACAGCCGACTCTCCCCCTTTCCATAGAGCTCAGGACGTCTGTAGTATACTCCAATGATAAGTCCATCAGTCCATAGACCCATCTATCATTCCATCCGTAATTCCTCCTCCGCACGATCACCACCTCCAACCACAAAGTCATTCTTGTCTTCTTTTCCCTACTGCTCCAGTCTCCTTCTCCATTCTCCTTCTCCTGTCTCCTTCTCCTCCAGTCTTATTCTCCATTTCCTAACACTACAAGTACGGCCCATCCTGTAGGTTTTAGTCTTCATCTTGTGTCTTAGTAGTTTGGTGTTCCCAGCTTGTCCTTGTTGGAACAGCCGACTCTCCCCCTTCTCATAGACCTCAGGACGTCTGTAGTATACTCCAATGATAAGTCCATCAGTCCATAGACCCATCTATCATTCCTCCTGTAATTCCTCCTCCGCACCATCACCTTGTTGGAACATCCGACTCTCCTCCTTCTCATAGACCTCAGGACGTCTGTAGTATACTCCAATGATAAGTCCATCAAGCCATAGACCCATCTATCATTCCTCCCGTAATTCCTCCTCCACACCATCACCTTGTTGGAACAGCCGACTCTCCCCTTTCTCATAGACCTCAGGACGTCTGTAGTATACTCCAATTATAAGTCCATCAGTCCATAGACCCATCTATCATTCCTCCCGTAATTCCTCCTCCGCACCATCACCTTGTTAGAACAGCTGACTCTCCCCTTTCTCATAGACCTCAGGACGTCTGTAGTATACTCCAATTATAAGTCCATCAGTCCATAGACCCATCTATCATTCCTCCCGTAATTCCTCCTCCGCACCATCACCACCTCCAACCACAAGATCATCTTTCTTCCTCACTTTCACATCACATCTAACTTAGAGAAACCCCCCTCCATCTTTTCTATGTCCCGTGTCCTAAACAAGAGGATCAGCATGAATACAAACAGCCCAGTCTTGGGAGGAGCCAAGCCATGTTTCTGGAACACCAACTCCATTCTCATCACTGAAATCATCAACATCTCCCATTCTGCTCGGCAGGTCACTGGATTTTGCATATTTAGTTACAATATTATTTTGTTAAACATTTTTGTTGTATTTTTATATGTTTAGATTCAGGTTTGGAATCAACCCAAACCCAACTGTTTTCTATTCAACAAACTGGAGAGCTAAATAGCTAGATTGCGTTAGTTTGCCAGCTGAACCTTCGACTTCAACATCACTACTGCCACTGAATAACTTCCCCCTTAGGATGCCATTGGTTGATTTTTTCTGCATTCTTTATAAGTTTGTCTGTAATGTAGATGTCCCCTCAATGAATGTGAAGGTGTGACTGTTTGTTAGGTGCAGTATGTGGATCCATCAACATGTGCAGTCACTATTTAGTAACACTCTTCTATAGGAGATACTCTTTCATAAATGTTCTTTTACAGGAGAACCCTCTTTCAAAAATGTTCTTCTATAGGTTTCTTCATAAAGGTTCCCTATATAGGAAATCCCTCCTTCATAAAAGGTTCTTATATAGGAGATGCGCCCTTCATAAAGGCTCTTCTATAAGAGATCTCTCTTTTGTCAAGGTTCTTCTATAGGAGATCCCTTCTTCATACAGGCTCTTCTATAGGAGATCCCTCCTTTGTAAAGGTTCATCTATAGGAGATCACTCCTTCATAAAAGTTCTTCTATAGGAGATCACTCCTTCATAATAGTTCTTCTATATAAAATCCCTCCATCAAAAAGGTTCTTCAATAAAAGTTGCATCCTTCATAAAGGCTCTTCTATAGGAGATCCCTCCTCCATAAAGGTTTATCTACAGGAGATCCTTCCTTCAAAAAGGGTCTTCTACAGAAAATCCCTCCTTCATAATGGTCCTTATAAAAGAGTTGCATCCTTCATAAATGCTCTTCTACTGGAGATCCCTCCTTCATAAAGGTTTTCTACAGGAGATCCCTCTTTAAAAAATGTTCTATAGGAGATGCACCCTTCATAAAGGCTCTTCTATAAGAGCTCTCCTTCATAAAGGTACTTCTATAGGAGATCCCTCCTTCGTAAAGGTTTTCTATAGGAGATCCCTCCTTCGTAAAGGTTCTTCTATAGGAGATCCCTCCTTCATAAAGGTTCTTCTATAGGAGATCCCTCCTACGTAAAGGTCTTCTATAGGAGATCCCTCCTTCGTAAAGGTTCTTCTATAGGAGATCCCTCCTTCATAAAAGTTCTATAGTTCACCCCTTGATATAACGGTTCTCTTATGGAAGATCCCTCCTTCATAACATTTCTTCTATATAAGATCTCTCCTTCATAAAGTTTCTTCTACAGGTCACTCCTTCATAACAGTTCTTCTATATAAGATCTCTCCTTCATAATGGTTCTTCTATGTGAGATGGTTTCTTCATAAATGCTCTTCTATAAGAGATCCCTCCTTCATAAAGGGTCTTTTATAGGAGATCCCTCCTTCATAAAGGATCTTTATAGGAGGAGGTGGTTCCTTCATAATGGTTCTTCTATAGAAGATCCCTCCATCAAAAAGGTTCTTCTATAAAAGTTGCATCCTTCATAAAGGCTCTTCTATAGGAGATCCCTCCTCCATAAAGGTTCTTCTACAGGAGATCCTCTTTCAAAAATGTTCTTCTAGAAGAGATGCACCCTTCATAAAGGCTCTTCTAGAATAGATCTCTCCTTCGTAAAGGTTCTTCTATAGGAGATCCCTCCTTCATAAAGGTTCTGCTATAGGAGATCCCTCCTTTGTAAAGGTTCTACTATAGGAGATCCCTCCTTCATAAAAGTTCTACTATAGGTGATCCCTCCTTCGTAAAGGTTCTTCTATAGGAGATCCCTCCTTCATACAGGTTCTGCTATAGGAGATCCCTCCGTTGTAAAGGTTCTTCTATAGGAGATCCCTCCTTCGTAAAAGGTTCTACTATAGGAGATCCCTCCTTCATAAAAGGTCTATAGTTCACCCCTTAATAACGGTTCTCTTATGGAAGATCCCTCCTTCATAACATTTCTTCTATATAAGATCTCTCCCTTCATAAAGTTTCTTCTACAGGTCACTCCTTCATAACAGTTCTTCTATATATAGATCTCTCCTTCATAATGGTTCTTCTATGTGAGATGGTTTCTTTCATAAATGCTCTTCTATAAGAGATCCCTCCTTCATAAAGGGTCTTTTATAGGAGATCCCTCCTTCATAAAGGATCTTTATAGGAGGTGGTTCCTTCATAATGGTTCTTCTATAGAAGATCCCTCCATCAAAAAGGTTCTTCTATAAAAGTTGCATCCTTCATAAAGGCTCTTCTATAGGAGATCCCTCCTCCATAAAGGTTCTTCTACAGGAGATCCCTCTTTCAAAAATGTTCTTCTAGAAGAGATGCACCCTTCATAAAGGCTCTTCTAGAATAGATCTCTCCTTCGTAAAGTTTCTTCTATAGGAGATCCCTCCTTCATAAAGGTTCTGCTATAGGAGATCCCTCCTTTGTAAAGGTTCTACTATAGGAGATCCCTCCTTCATAAAAGTTCTACTATAGGTGATCCCTCCTTCGTAAAGGTTCTTCTATAGGAGATCCCTCCTTCATACAGGTTCTGCTATAGGAGATCCCTCCGTTGTAAAGGTTCTTCTATAGGAGATCCCTCCTTCGTAAAGGTTCTACTATAGGAGATCCCTCCTTCATAAAAGGTCTATAGATCACCCCTTAATAACGGTTCTTTTATGGAAGATCCGTCCTTCATAACGTTTCTTCCATATAGGATCTCTCCTTTAAAAGGTTCTTCTATAAATAATGAGTCCTTTGTGGAGGCTCTTCTATAGGGGATCCAGCCTTCATAAAAGTTCTTATGTAAGAGGTCCCTCTTATATAAAATTATTCCAGGGTAGACATTATTTCTCTTGGTGTATTCATGGCTCCTTGATAAAACTAAAAGATCTCCAGAACGTGTCTGTCTGTGTGTGTGTGTGTGTGTGTGTGTGGGGGGGGGGGGTGTCAGAGGTATAGTTAGAAACAACACAATTACAAAAGCTGTGACAGACCCAACCCAGACAGGGGCTATTGGAGAGGACTGCAGGCTAGCTTCTTGCCTACTGGCCATGGCCCTGGCACCAGAGGGGGCTCTATTCTTTGGTATGTGCCTGGGGGGACCTTTGGACTTGAATCTGAAGTATACTGCTCCAAAGGCCCCTCCAGGCACACACCAAAGAACAGAGTCCCCTCAG